TCAGGTCTCTCTCAGAAGCACAGGCCATACTTCCATCCTGACCGTGTTATGCAGTGTTAGAAGGCAGCAAACCATGCCTTAATTTTGGTAACTTTACAATCATATCTCTGCAATGGCTGTTACAGCACACATTTATTTCTGTTTAATCTAAGAAATCATCCATTTAGTCATGAATGCTATGTAAATTCAGATACAGCCTGCAGTCAGCTGCTGTATACTGAAGTTTAAAAGTCCTGAACTACATACAGCTATTTTCAAATGGTAAGTACGTAAGGCAAGTGAGAGGTTCAGTTGCTGGAACGGTAGGGAGCCAGTTGGTTGCAAGGTGGCAAGGGAGCCAGCCAAGTAATGCAATGTTTTAAAGTAGGGGGGTTGGGATGAGTGGGAGAAATCAGATCTGGTGGGAATGGATTGTTCTGTGACATGGCAAGGGGTGGGTTGGGGAGGCATGGAAAGAAAAGGCAGATCAGGTCTGGAGTGGGTGAACTGGGACTGAGTGGGTCCAGAATGAGTCCATGGGAGTTGGGGAGTGGAGTTGAATCTGGATTTGGGAATGGGGAAGATAGCTGGTGAGAGGTTAGGCTTTGTGGGTGGTAGGGGAGGTGCAAGTGTAGTGACACAGGTTAAAGGGTTATCTTCTGGTGAAAGGTTGGACTAGTTATCCTTATATTCATTAAGAGTTTAGAAGAATGAGCACTGTTCTGCTGAAACACAAGATCCTGAGGGAATTTGACAGGATGTTTGTTGAGAGAATATTTCTCATTATGAGAGAGACTAGAATTAGTCAACAGTTTGAAAATAAAGGATCTTCCATTTAAGACAGAGAGGAGGGGATTTTTTTTTCCACTCTGCATTGGTTGTCAGTGTGTGCAAACTTTTCCTGAGGGCAGTGGAAAAAGGCTCATTTTGTTTATTTAAAGCTGCATTCAATATTATTTATTGGCAAAAGAGTCAGTGTACAAAGGGTAGACAGCAACATACAATTGAGGGAATGTCAGATCATTCATGATCTCATCAAATGGCAGAGCAGGTTTGAGGGGAAAAATGGTCTACTCTGCTCTAACTTGCATGTCCCTATGTAGCTGCTGCATTCTAAACGTCTTTCAGTTCAAGATCGGCTCTTCATTAATTGTGTGGGTGTTGGTAAAATATAAACCAAATATTCTGGACTAATTTACATAAGTTATACGTTCTATTGTCTATCTGAGGATATTGTAACTGAGGCTTTTAAGTTGTGAAAATTAAAACCTTTAATAACATTAAATTAGAATAATTTAAATAATTTAGAAAAATGTTCTAAAATACCATTCATTCCTACCGTAATATGTTAGATGTTCTGCCAAATGCAAAAATGACACTGACACAAGGACATTGAAAATCCAGTTGACTCCAGAAGAACAGGCGTTTCCTGTACTTCGTGCCCACATCGGATATATTTCAGAATTCACTGTCCAAGGCATTGAACCCATTCCTAAAAAAATGTGTTGAACATATTCAAATACTTCGTTTCAGGCAAAATCAAATGCAGAGTTAAAAATTAAAATCAGAATTGCTTTCCATTAATATTAACACCACAAAAAGGCATCTAGTTGTTTGATTTATCACCTAAATGCACAAACAATATATATCTACCACATAAGTAGCAGAGTTTCAAACTAAATTGAGCACAAAGTTGAAGCAAGGTAGTTCAGTCAAAGTATCCTTTTTAATGGTGTGATCAACTTTAATATCAGTATTAAAAATATGTATTTATAGGTGTGCAGTTTTACTCCTTAAGCTTTTAACAACACACAAAAAAAAGAAACACTTTCTGCTTACTGCTTTATCCCTTTTATTGTTAAAGCATGCCACCTAGTTCTGGTCTCTCACAGAACAGGAAACATCCTCATTGTCCACCCTGTCCAGTTTCCCAACAATGTTATATGTCTGTGCAAAATTGCCACTCATTATTCAAACCCCCGAAATGGATACAGGTAACTTCAAAACATAGCAAATAGGAGCACAAGCAGGCCATCTGGCATTTGTGCCTACTCGAACATTCAATGATCATGGCTGATCATTCAACTCAGTATCCTATTCCCACTTCGCCCCATACCCACTGATCCCTTTAGGCCTAAAAACTACATATAAACTCCTTTTTGAACACATTCAATATTTTTGCCTCAATTGCTTTCTGTGGCAGAGAATTCCACATGTTTACCACTCCCTGTTTAAAGGCATTTCTCTTTATCTCAGTCCTAAATAGCATAACTTATACCTTTAGACTACGATCCCTGTTCCTGAGATCTCCAGTTAGCAGGAACATCCTTTCTGCATTGACTGTGTTCAGTCCTGTTAGAATTTTATCGATTCCCATGAGATTCACCCTCATTCTTCTAAATTCCAGTGACTATAGTCCAAACCGATCCAATCTTTCCTCATACGTCAGTCCTGCCATCCCAAGAATCAGTCTGGTAAACCTCCATTGCATTCTCTTCATAGCCAGAGCATCCTTTCTCAGATAAGGAAGCAAACACTGCACACAATACTCCAGATATGGTGTTGTGAAGGCCCTGCACAATTGCAGCAAGATATCCCTGTTCCTGTACTCAAATCCTCTTGCTATGAAGACCACCTTAGCATTTACCTTGAATGCTTACTTTCAGCAATTGGTGGTTGAAGAGTTCTCAGTGCACCTCCCCCTTTCCCAATCTATCGCTGTTCAGATAATAATCTGCCTGTTTTTGCTACCAAAGTAGGTAACCTCTCATTTGCATGTGTTTGTCCACTTTCACTGAACTTGACAAAATCACGCTGAAGCATTTCTGCACCCTCCCATCTAATTTCGAGTCAACTGCAAACTTAAAGACATTACATTTAGTTCTGTCATCTAAATTATTAATATATATATATTGAGTTGCTAGGGTCCAAGCACTGATCCCTATGGTATCCCAATAATCACTGCCTACTGGTTGGAAAAAGTCTCATTTATTCCCACTCTTGATTTCCTGTCTGTCAACAAATCCTCTGCCCAAAGCAGAAACAGAAATTGCTGGAGAATTCAGCAGGACTGGCAGCATCCGTGAAGAAAAAGTAGAGTTAACGTTGAGTCCAATGACCCTTCTTCAGTTTTCAATCTATGACAGTACACTAGTCCAATCTCTCACACTTTAATTTTACAAGATAATTTCTAGTGTGTCTGAACTAATCCAACCTTTCCACACAAGGCAACTCTTTCATCTAAGTATCAGTTGATTGATTGTCCTCTGCTTCCAACTTAATTATATTCTTACGGAGACCAGAACTGTATACTATATTTCAGGTGCCTTCTAAAAAGGGACTGTATCATTTCAATTTTCCAGTTACAGCAATTTGCACAGCCAGATCTCAGTAATCAAAACAGACAGCAGCATGTTTAATAAACGTAGACACCATTTTTTAAAACTTGCTAGAGTAAGTTCTGCCCCAATCAATTTGATTATTTCTCAATAACTCTACATAGCATTGAATAATTAAACAATATGGGCTTTTAACAATTATTACGAGCAGACAACTCCTGCCAGTAGTATAGAGTAATTCAACACCATAGAAACAATGTTTGTCACAAAAGGAACAGGTATTAAGGAAAGGGTACATCACAAGATTCACATGAAAGCATTATCTCTCCGTTTAAGGTGTCATCTGAAGCTTTGCTTCAATTTTGCAAGAATAATAATGGTGGACTACAAAAATTGGGCATGAGTCTTCAAGGTGAATGACAACACAATTCATCACAAACTGCAAACCTGGACCTCAATAATGCAACTTTGAATTAAATTTACTTATAGAGGAAGGTTATTTCCCTTCCACTGAAAACAGAAAATTTTTCAAGATCATTTAATGGACTACAATACAATCATTTAAATAGAATCAGATTAGGAATAATTTAAAATAAATTTCATACCTGGAGCGAAAAAGACAAGGTATAGGATAAGACCCAGTAACGCAGTCCAAGAATATACTGTAGGGCAGAAGTTGTATGCCCAAGATAAGCCTTCTTTCTTAAATTCTGAAGCATTACTGCATCTAAAATAGATACCAGAATATTGTAATGGACAACAACATTCACTAAATAATGTCAATTCACCATCATTGCCTGATACAGGTGGTGTTTCTGGAGGATATAGCCACATAATGCCTCCATTGGTAGTAGATAGCAGGGCAAGGAGCATGATGATCTTAGATACTATTTTTCATCTCTCTTTATTCTACTTGGCTGTGAATGTTGGTATCGCTCTTCAGCAATACAAGTTTCTGCTATTGCTCATGCAATTCTCTCCTTTCATTTTATAGTTTTGAATAGCAACTGTACTGGTGGTAAATTTCCAAAATGGCACATATGCATGCAATATGAAACTGCAAAAAATTAGAAATACATTTTGTTGGCATTAAAATTAATCACATTAATACACGGTGGGTCAATCAAAGGAGATGAACTTCACCGAACACAGATGATTCAGAAGGATTGTCTACATCAGAATGAACCCCAAACACATTAGAATAGCGAAGACTGACCTAGGTAATTGGCTATCCAATACACAAACATGACACCAAAGTTATTAGTATTTCAGGAGTGTATCCATGTAGAAGAACATCTTTCAAGGCAATAAATATTAATGTCATCTTCCTATTGCATATATTACGTAAGGGATCAGCCTCATACTTCCTATAAAAAGGACATTCAATGCACTAACAACTCCTTTTGACAAAGAAATCTATTAGCCTTTTTTGCTTAAACTCTGATAAGATCTCTTTATCCTTCCCCTGAACTGTCTTTGTGATAATTTTAACTTCATTGATTTTGAAGAAAAGTGCATTCCAGTAATTATAAGTGTGAATATAGAAAACAAGGTTCAACGCCTGTATTGATTGAGCTGCAGAGAGCAAAAAATTTCCATTTTCAACTGGAGGAGTCAGGATTTGTTAGAGTATGGCACATAGCCATGCTGAAGTAAACAAGATGAGGGAAAGGCACAAACACATTGAAACAATTTTGTCTTTCAGTCAATGAAGTGTATAAAAGAGTTCCAAATGCCTTGGTTCTGCTCATCAAGCATGCGGTTAAACCTGAAGCTGTCATTTACCTGATGACAGTAACTAGTTTGGAGACTGCATTGTGGTGAAGGGTTTCCATACATAATAGACAGCTGACCAAAACAAATTAATCAAACTTAAGTTTTTCATCAATTAACATCCCTCCATCATAAACCCAGAGTCCGTTTGCAGCTCTTCAGATCATGAAGAAATCCGTACCAGAATGCATCATTCAAAAACACTCGGGCATGGGCTGAACGATAAAGGAGTAATATACATGTCACATAAGTGCTACAATTACCAACTTCCATTTCAAACAGAAAGGTGGGTTTCCTCCAGGTGCTCTGGTTTCCTCCCACAGTCCAAAGATGTGCAGGTTAGGTGGATTGGCCATGCTAAATTGCCCGTAGTGTTCAGGGAGGTGTAGATTAGGTGCGTTATAGGGGGATGGGTCTGGGTGGGATCCTCTGAGGTTCAGTGTGGACTCGTAGGGCCGAAGGGCCCGTTTCCACACTGTAGGGATTCTATGATTCTATGATCTATGAAAGCAGAACAGCACCACTTTGCAATGGTATCTTCCAGAACAAAGCTTTAATAGTGAGCACTGTATTACTGTACTTAAACATACTGTTTTGAGGAGATATAATCTTAATAAATGGGACTGTCTTGACAAAAACATGGAACAAAATATATACAGGTCATCAAACCCATTGCCCAGTAATACTATGCAATCTCACATTAGTATCAAAGCAGTCTGGTAAACAATGGCAACTTTTGGGTTGTGTGAACTCCAATCAGACAGTCAACATTTTCAGAGGTTGTGATCAAAAACAAGATTTTGCTGTTTTGTTTCTTCATTCTTTACTGGGACATGCATGTCACTGGCAAAGCCAGCACGTGTTGCTGATCCCCAATTACCCTTGAGTTAAGTGGCTGATTTTGAAGGTCATTTGAGAGTCAATGGTATTGCTGTGGATCTAAAGTCACATGTAGGCCAGATCAGGTAAGGATGGCAAATTTTCTTCCATACAAATACATTAGTGTTTGAGATGGGTTTTACAATAGTTATCACAGTCAAAACTGTGACTAGTTTTTAATTCTGGATTTATTAAGTGAATTTAAGTGCCACCAGCTGCATGTTCCAGAGTAATAATTTGGGCGACTAGATTATGAGTTCAGTGAAATTACCATTTTGCCACCAATTCCATAGAAATGGATTTTCCCCTCTACATTTTGCTTTTACATACTAACCATACACAATTTCCTACTTGTAAACTTCAAACTAATTCTCAGGTAGCTGATATCGTGCTTGTACCACCATTTCTAATACATCTTTCAGCTTTACACATCAATAGACATTAAGCTTTCCATACAGTCATAACATCATTTAGTTCTCCTCTCCAGAAAGGCCTCATACCTTCCCCCAGTACAGCAGTGATCTAAAAAATATTCAGGAGTTTTCACCTCCATGACTCGCCCCTGTCGTCCACTAATATTAAGCCAAAAATCTGATTAATCCTAAATCCCTTTTATTAGTTTGAACCTGTACCACCTTTTTGATATACTCTTAGAAATGCAGTATGAAGCAATTTTCAGAATTAGATTTCCATATGGTTTACAAGCTCGGATTCTCAGAATTTGCCTTTTTAAATCTGCAAAGTTTACCAATTTTTTGCTGGATATCTGAAAAATTGATAATACTGGAAATACTCAACAACTCTGGTAGCATATGTGGAAGGAGAAACAGAGTTAACAAATGGCAGAACTGAAATAAAGTCATCAACATGAAACATCAAATATTTTCTCTCCACAGTTGCTGCCTAATCTCCTGAGCATTTTTGAAATATTACTTGTCAGTGATATTACCATGATATCATTATCTCCCCATGGGAATTAATCAGTGCTTGTCAACCCAAGATACATATTTATCCTGTATGTTTTGCATTAGACTTCTGAAAGAGGTTCACTTTTGCTTTACTTAAATGAATCAAGGAAGCCATGCATATCAGAAAAGGTGGTGGTAACCTGGTGAACTTCTGACAATTAAACTATATACACATGCTAAACAAGCCGCATGCTGTAGTTGTAGGTATATGGTTCACAACCATTTGATCAGATCAAAGCACTGTGAGTCTTTTGTGAATGTCAGTCAATTAAATAACTATGGAGAAGAAATGGCTCCATAAACATTTTCATCCTAAATGATGCTGGAGTCAAAAGACTCAGCATATGCACTCATCTTCAGCTTGAAGTACCGGGTGGATGATCCATCTGGCTCCTCCCAAGATCATCACAATAAATGATTGGTCAAATTTGATTCATTGCCCAAGTTCGCAAGGAACAAATGAGCACGCTGGATGGAAGACAGACCATGGGCCCTGACAATACCTCCGTTGCTATTGTGAAGACCTGTGCTACAGAACTAGCCATGCTGTTCCACTAAAGTTATGCATCTGATACCCACCAAAGTCAAAAACTGCCTAGTTACGTCCTGTCCACAAAAAGCAAAATAAATTCAATGTAGCCAATCACCCCCCTACAATTAACTTGCAATTATGAGTTAGTGGTTAAAGGTGTTGTTAAGAGAGCACCCACTGGATTCAGCTCAGCCTCATTATAGTCTTCATGTAAACATTGACAAGACAGCCGAACTCCAGAGATGAGGCAAGTGTGGCTGCCCTTGATATCAAGGTAGCATTTGACCATTAGTGGCACTAAGGAGCTCAAACAAGACTGAAACCTGCAGGAATTATTGCGGTGGGGTTACTCACTCAATAGAATCATACGTAGCACAAAGAAAGAGACAGTTGAGGTCATCAGAGGATAATCATCTCAGCCTGGAACATTATTGCAGACATTCCTCAGGATAATGCTCCAGTACCTCAAGCTTAAATTGGTTCATTAAATACATTCCCCTCCATTATAAAGGTCAGAAATAGGGATGTTTGCTGAACAGCACAGTGTTCAATTTCATGTGCAACTTCCAAGCAGCAAAACTTCAGGACTGGGCAGATAACAAGCCTGACTCAAGTGCCGAATAATGACCACATCCGAGTAGAAAACGCTTAACTGTATCCACTTAACCTATAACATGACTGACATTGCTGAATTCTCTACCAACCACGACCTCAGGGGTTATCATTGACCCTCTACATAAACAATCTGGGTGGGCATTAGAGGTTGGGTAGTCTATAGTAACTTGCCCTCTGACTCCCAAAGGCTTTTCTACCTAACAGCAAAAGGCACAAGTCTGGATGGAGATGAAATATCTCCATCTGGCGGGCAAGCCAACATAAAGTATCATAGCATCTGTGCAGATTGTATGAATGGTACTCTATTGACCACCTTAAAGATTCATCCTTCCAAGTCTGCCATCCCACTGCTGGAATGTGCATCATTTACAAGATGAACCGTAGCAATTCATCAAAACGTTTTTAAACTCATCTTCTAAAACTCTTCCACCTAGAAGGCCAATATCACAAGGGATTTAGGACCATCTCCAATTTCCCCTCCAGGTCATGTACTATCTGAATTTAGAAAAATATGTAAACTTCTTAATCCATGTTGGGGAAAATACATTGCAGCATTGTCGCCTACCTTCAAGGTTCAAAGATGCAGTTAGTGCATCACCACCTTCTCAGGACCAGTCATATGTCCCACAAATAGATAAATGTACACTTTGTCATTATCCTGAAGGCATGCCATAATTTCTATTTCCTACATGTTTACGTCAATTATCTGGTCAACAAGGGCATTGTTACTCAACTTCACTTGTGTACTAAGTCATTAAGCAATCTTACATTATTTTACCGATTCACATCTTTTTGGATATTCTCAGTTGATATTTGGTCTAAAGTTGCTCATAGATAATTTCTAGTTTACACTTTTCAAGGGAGAAAATGATTGGCTCTAAAAATAAGTGCAGAGATCAAGGTTCACAATAAACCATTCTGCGTTGGTTGTGTTGCAGACAGCATATTAAGTTAACATTA